CAAACCTATTCTTAAAATTTAGATGGAATAGATTAAAGATAATATTTTGGTTCTTGTGGATTTGTTCTCATTTTCTCCATGTGTAATCGATGGTCTAACCCACAGTCCACCCCTGGTTTAATTTTGACTGCTGTTACTGAGCTTCTTCAATGATTCCATGCAGCCCGTCAAGTGAGGTCCATGTGTAAAGTCGCCATTTGCATTTAAAAAAAATATATTTGAAATTAATAAATCACTCAAAATATAAAATTTGATCATTCTATTTCCAGCAAGAAATTGGATCTTAATTGGTTTAAATAAGAGACTCCCAGCCCACAACTGATTGTAAATTAAATTAAAAAGACCTTTCCTATCCTGTGCCATCCTAGAGCTGTTCAATTTATTGGTGGGACTAGCCAATCCTTTTGTAGATCACTGAGACTGGCCAATTTCTTTGTATTATGGCAGATAGCCAATCCCTTTGTGGATAAGCCAACATACTCCATTTGCATAGTACTGCCCATACACACAGTCAGTCATACATGCTAGAAAGGCTATATTCAAAGAAAACCTCTGTAATATCTTATTCCCTAACACTTGTTAATAATCCCCACTATAAGAAAATGCAGGTTCTAAGTTTAAACACATTTGAAAATGGCATTATTTGAGTAGAATTTAATGTGTTTTATTTACATTGTTGTGGTGCTGTAAATTGCCTTTATATGACCTATCCTGCCATGGTATCTTAAATCCTCCAGTAAATAAAACTTTTGCATGGATTAGATAGTAACTATGGAAATATGGTGCCAGTGGCCTATCATGGGTATTGCCAGTTTCGCCATCCTAGGAGGTTTAAAAAGATAACCCTTACAGGTTGAGCTGGCACTCACTATCATCAAGAAGAAGGGAGCTCTGGTGGTCTAGAGGTAAGAAACTGCACTGCAATCCTGAAGGCATATGGTTCAAATCCACAAGATGCTCCATGAGAGAAGGCTGGGCATCTCCTCCCATGCAATTAACTGCCTCTAAAAACCCACTGAGGGTCAACTATGGGTCGTTTCCAACTCAAAAGTACTCAACAAAAAACAACAACATCACATCAAGAAGAACCTAGAATGGAGTGTGTTCTTTGAACCCAGAGTCATCATGTTAAAAACTTCCCTTGACCCAAGAAACAGAAAGAGTGGTAACACTGGGCATAGTATGAGATGGAAGAGGCTTGGGACTGGTAGATGCCTTGGGTAGGCTTGCAGATACACTGAATGAGAAAGGCGGCTGCTTTCAGGCCTGAGGCTAACTGGTGGATTAGGATGCTTTCAGGAATTTATCACAGAAGCTAAGAAGCTTTAAAATGTGTGAAAGCAGGGAGCTGGCACTGATTTGACGACAGTGAGTTTTTGAGTTTTGACTCATGGGGGATATTGATTTAAATGTTGCTATAAAAGTATATGTAGTCCTGTGCATGCGATCAGGTGACCTTTTCAGGGAGCTATGGTGAAGGAGTTTCACTGCCAAACCAAAGGCATGTGGTTTGGATCCACCAGCTTCTCCACGGGAGAACAAGGGCAATCTCTTGTATGATTCACTGCCTCTGAAAAATCTGAAGGGTCAGCTGTGAGTTGGTTCCAACTTGATAGTAAACAATACAACTATGAAAGTATTCATGTTGGAATAGTATTTGCTAACAGAAACGTTGCATTTTGAATCCCTAACTGCTCTGTAGGAGAAATATGGGCAATTTGCTCTCATAATAAATTAGAGTTGGAAACATGATAGAGATGGTGGAGGATGTTTATGAGCTGGAACTGACATGCCAGTGAGTGTAAAAATATGAAGTATTATTTGTTGGAGAGTTGGACAATGACTAAAGATGACAGAAGAGAATCAATGCCTTTGAGTTGTGGTTCTGGAGAAGAGTATTGAACATACCATGGACCACCAAGAGAAAAAAAACAAAAACAGATCTTGAAGAGAGTGAAACTAAGTTTCTCCTTGTAGACAAGGAGTCTAAAGCTCTTTTTCACAATCTTTGGGCACATGGCCAGGAGGGATCAGTCACTGAAGACTGATCATATCATGCCTGGTAGGGTGGAGGGACAGCACAGGAGAGGAGGATCTGGTATTAGATGGACTGACATAGTACCTGGGGTCATGGGGCTAAGTGGGTTGGAGTGAGACTGGCTCAGGGTAGAGCAGGTTTCAGAGCTATTGTACATAGGGTCTCTATGAGCCACAGGTGACTTGATTACACATAACAACAAAACTAATTTATAAAAATATTACACAGTTCATGGAGCTCAGATGGCATAGTGCCTTACTTCTTATGGTGCTAACGTAAAAGAAAGCTGTTTGACTTTACTAGCTGTTCTCAAGGGCATCTTTATACCCTCAGAAGTAATGATAGAGAGTGGTTACAAGTCAGTATTTACTGAAGGCAGTACATTAGGTGAGCAATTTAGATGATATTTGAGCATGGCCCAAGCTGACTGAGGTCTACAGCACACCCACTTTCACACCCTACAACATCCCCCCAAATTATACAATGAGGTGAAAGTCAATTTGAGGTTTCAACCTCAATTCTGTTACAGGAAACACTGAAAAGAATCTCAAGGTAAAGATTGTTCTTGTTATGTGCCGTTGAGTTGCTTATGACTCATAGAGCTTTGAACCCTGCTTTATCTTGAGTGAACCTCATTGTCTCTGACACACCTAGCCCCCATTTCCCCAGTCAGCGAATCAATCCATCTCATAGTGGGTCCTCCTCTCTTGTGCTGTCTATCCTCCCAAGTATAATGTTCCTCTCCAAGAACAGATGACACCTTGCAACATGCCCAAAGTATTTCAATCGAAGCTTCAAAATCCTTGTCTCAAATGAGCTGCTGGTTTCACCCTCTCTACAACAAACCTGTTTGTTTTCCTAGTAGTCCATGGTATATTCAATACTCTTCTCTAGCACCACAGCTCAAAGGCATCGATTCTTCTATTATCCCTAGTCATTGCCCAGCTTTCTAATACATAGCAAGTAATTACGGAGACTATGGCCTGGATTAGGTGCACCTCAGTCTCCAGACTTACACTGTTGCTCTTCAGTACTCTGGAGAGGTCTCTGATAGCAGACTTTCCCATGCAATTCATCTTTTGCTTTCTTGACTGCTGGTACCAAGAGTGTTGACTGTGGAGCCAAGCAAACTGAAGGTGTTAACAATCTCAATCTTTTTATCATCTATCATAATGCTGCTAATCAGCCCAGGGGTGAGAATCTTTATTTTCTTGAGGTTGAGCTTAAATCCATATATTTTTTTCATTTATATGAACTTTTTATTTTATACTGGTTGACTTAACAAAATCCTTATACAACGTTTTTCACACTGGATCTTTCCCATTTCCTTAACCCACTCCTTTCTCTACCCATCAAATTGTGGGACCCTATTACCATGGCTTGCACCTATCCTCACCCCTGTGCCTCCCCCCTTTAGATCCTCATTCACTTTTCACTAGTTATCTATTTCTACAATAATGGTCTTATACAGTATTTGTCCTTATGGGACTGAGTTAGTTCACTTAGCATAATGCTTCCAGTCCCTCCCAAGTTAGTGATTTTCAAAATCATTGCTTCTGAATGCTATGTAGTATTCTATCATCTGAACTTACCATAATTTATCAATCCATTTGATTGTGGTTGGACATTTAGGCTGTTACCATGTTCTTGTGAGTAACACTACGAACATTGGTGTACAAGTCTCTGTGCTTCAGTTCTCATTTTCTCAGGATATATTCCAAGCAGTGGAACAGTTGGGTCATTATGTAATTTTCATGTTCAGATTTTTGAGGAAACACCAAACTGTCTTCCACGCGGTTTTACCTTTTTACAATCCCACCAACAGTTCCTATTTCTCCATATCCTCTCCAACATTTATTACTCGCTGTCTTGTTAAACTTTGCTTCTGCTACTGAGGTGAGATAGAATCTCAATGTGGTTTTGATTTGCATCTCTTAATGCCAGTGATTTTGAGCATTTCTTCACATTTGTTGGCCATGCAAATATCTTCCTCTGTGAAGTCTTTCCATTTCTTCTGCCCATTTTGTAATTGTGTTCTCATTCTTTTTCTTGTGTAAGTCCTGTAGGATTCGGTAGATTTTTTACATGAGGCCCTTGTCTCAAACGTTATTGCCAAATGTTTTTTCCCCTCCAATCAGTAGGTTTTCTTTTCACTCTGTTGGAAAAAGTTGTTTTTTGTTTGTTTGTTTTTGGAAAAAGTTTTTGATGTGCAGAGAGATTTAATCTTTAGAAGGTCTATTCAAAAAAAGAAGGCCTATTCATCAATCTTACCCTCTCCAGATTGTGCATTTCTCACTGTATTTGGCAGTCTCTTTATACCACTGACTAGGCTGTCTAAGCTTGATCTCAGTTTGTCTTTTAAATTCATTATTTAAAGCTGCAGCCCTTGACCTTCTGCAGTAAGCGCCTCAGGTCCTCCTCAGTTCCAGCATTGCAACCAGTATCAACAACTCATTGCCAATGAGTAGGAAATTATTCATAAGTGACCCTCCTAAGGGTTTTGAGAGACTGTAAAACACACAGGTGGATACTGTCTTTTTCACACCAGCTGGAGTACTAGAACTATCTGACTGTGGGTTGTATTGGCACACTCCTTACTCACTAGACCACCAGAACTAAGCAGGGGAGTAAGGAGACACTATTTCTTTGGATGGGGTGATTGTAAAGTTGTTTGTACAAGATTTTACACTAGGTTGAGAACCTTGCAAGTATCCAAATAATTGGCTGGGGGGAAAGGAGAACAGAACTGTATTTAACAGTCATGGAAACCGCTGAACCATCTCGGCACTCCACCTTCTTCCTCTTGTCGCGTTCCCTCGGGGCAAGTGTGTCAGAACCTTAAACGGTCCCCACATGAGGTCACTCCATCCGATCACGTGCGCAGGAACCGAGGGAGTGCCACATCGCCAGCCACAACCCTCCACCCTCACCATGCCCACGTGACCCGGCCTACTTTCTCCAGGTCCGTCCAACGCCTAGCTCAGGAAGCCCCGCCCCACGCTGCGCGCTCGACCAGCGAACCACCGCCCCTTTTTCCGGTCGTCCTAGAGAGTGGCTCTCGGTCCCACGTGCTTCTTCCTGTCCAATGGGAGCAGGCGTCTGGGAGCGAAGGGGCGGGGAGAAAAGGAACGAATTGTTGCGTTGTAGAAAGGGGAGGGGCCAGTAACGTCAGACAGAACGAGGGGACGCAGTCTAGGCAGGCCGAAGCAGCTGCCGTCGCCATGACCCGTGAGCACCGAGGCCCACTTCTCTTGTCCTTTCCTCTCCGTTCACCCTGAACTCGGCTGCCGAATCTCCGGCATTAGCCTTCCTGCAGCTTCCCTGCTGGGGCCTTTCTCAGAGAGCATTCTTTAGCGACCCTCACCCTCGGAGCCCGGAAATCGAGAGTTTCGTTTTCCGACACTTCTCGAGAACCTCCCCTTCTTTAGGCATTTATCCTTTTCATCTTTCTGCCATGTGGGGAGAAACCCTGCACTCCTGTGATAGGCCCAGAGCCCCTTACTCTAGAACCTAGCCCCTCCCCCCTACAGAGACCCAACCCAGTCAGTGCACCGAACACCACCTGTCCGGGTCCTCATGCCTTCCCCAAACTCTACTCGCCTCCGGCACCCGCCCTCTCCGAGCACTCCAGTTTGACCCATCCCGTTGCAGCCTTGCCACTTTCCTCTCTCCTTTCCGCCCCCCCTCCCCCATCGGCATCCTAGACCCCGATGGGGGCTGGTGTGGCTCCGGGGTGGGCGGTGAAGTATGGGACCCTTTCAAGTGTCTTGGGTAGGGGTGGAGGGTCTCCGGTGTGTGGCCCGAATGGCCTCATGTCACCTTTCACCTTCTTTCTTTAGGCGGTAACCAGCGCGAGCTCGCCCGCCAGAAGAATATGAAAAAGCAGAGCGACTCGGTTAAGGGAAAGCGCCGAGATGACGGCCTTTCCGCCGCTGCCCGCAAGCAGAGGTAGCCCCAGGGAGGGGAGGGACAGGGAGGAAGCTGGGCTAGGCTAAGGGTTATACTAGGAAAGAGGTACCTCAGAGCTCCAGCCTGGGCTGGTTATAGGGCAGAGTGCTCTGCTTTCTCGAGGGTTTTTATTTCTTGCCTACCCGTTAAATTGTTAGCGTACAGTTTTACAGGAAGAGAGTGAGGCGTTTGCCCTCATTTTGATTTCTGAGTGCCCCTGGGTTTGATCATGTTAAGGGCAGGGAGCTTCCCATTTCCAATACAGTTGTGGTTATGAGAGCCCAGATTTTTTTTGCTCCTGGCTGTTCTTTGTTCACCTACCTTCTCCCAACCTTCTCACTGGTGTTACTGGGTGTGGTGCTCTGCACAGAATAGAGAATGTAAACCTTGGGCCTGTGAGGCCAGATTTCTGACCCTTTGGGCAACAGCCAGATGGAGACTTACTGCCTTTTGAGCTTCAGCTCTCTTCCTCTTGTCCTCCTTGGGTGGGAATACAGCATCTACATGCTGAACTTTGCCCCAGCCACTTCCATTTTATCCTTTGTGCCCTTCATCCTCCTGCATCTTGTCCTTTTTGCCCTCTGGTACCTCCCAGTGCCCCATCATCTCTACCCCTAGGGACTCGGAGATCATGCAGCAGAAGCAGAAAAAGGCAAACGAGAAGAAGGAGGAACCCAAGTAGCTTTGTGGCTTCGTGTCCAACCCTCTTGCCCTTCGCCTGTGTGCCTGGAGCCAGTCCCACCACGCTCGCGTTTCCTCCTGTAGTGCTCACAGGTCCCAGCACCGATGGCATTCCCTTTGCCCTGAGTCTGCAGCGAGTCCCTTTTGTGCTTCCTTCCCCTCAGGTAGCCCCTCTCCCTCTGGGCCACACCTGGGGGTGAGGGGGTTACCCCTTCCCAGTGTTTTTTATTCCTGTGGGGCTCACCCCAAAGTATTAAAAGTAGCTTTGTAATTCCTTGAGCGCCTGGTTTGACTGGGGATTTGGGGGGATGGGGATGGAGGATTGGCTGACTTTTCCCACTAGGAGGGGATTTAACTTTATAGACTCCTAGAAGGTCCTGGATATGTGTATAGATTGATAAGTGAAACATCATGGGAGAAAAAAAGGAAACCCTTTATTGTGCTACGACAACCAGACAAGTGTGCTGAGGGGTTTAGTTGAGGAATCTTCCAAGAACCAGAGGAACTTAATTTCTGTGATTTTTTTTTTTTTTTTGTCCTTCACTCAGTACTTGAATACCATCCGAAGGATGGAATTGAGGACCTAAGAGGGAAGGCTTTTAGACCCAAGTTTATGTCATGCTTTCTACCTCATTCTGTTTGCCTATTTTAAAGTTGGCCAAAAAATTCTGCTGCTCTCAGATGTTCACATTCTTTTCTACTCTGTCATGCCTCATGGAATTGAGGGGTGGTTTTTGTCTTCCTTGACTTTAATATCAAGATTAAAAACTGAGGTAGCTCCTTTCTTTATACGTCCTTGTTCTAAATATCTTAGTTCCCTGGGCGCAAGACTGAACTACTTGTTTTCCTTTTATCTCCAAAGGCAGAGCCAAGTCTTCAGTCCCTGTTGGTCTTCCCCCATCCCCAACTCTAGTTCAAGAACCAAGAAAATACTGGTACATTTTCATTTGGGGTCAACAGTGATTCCTGAGTTATCTTGGAATAGGAAGAAGACATAATGGGAACTCCATTGGGTCACATACTCTTTTACAACATTAGGGTGTACATTGTCACTTCTTACTGTGTTAACATAGGACTGCTCTAACCTAAAGGGCTGATAACTGCCTGTTAGGTCTTTGAAATACTGACCTAGGGAAGACAGCTTCCTGAACTAGGATTAGAGAAAATGCCTCAGGGGAGACTCTGTTTAGAAGAATCCAGACTGGAGACCAGTAGCATCCCCAGATAGAGAAATACACAGGCCCAGCATGAGGCAACTTTGACCCAGAAGGTAGCCCAGCTACCCTTGGTGAAAGTCGTCTCCAGTTCTGCTCCCTCGTAGCTGTGGAACCAAAGGCTCTGGTTAGTGGAATATATAGCACCTCAAGTTTTGGACCCATCTTATCTCCCCACCCAGAGATTATAGGAGAACAGGAGGATGTGTCTCCTGGAAGTCCTTAGGAATGGTCTTGGATTCCTCTTTTCCCCAGTATAGCTTTTTTTCCCAGTAGAGTTTCTCAGGCCTAACTTAATCTTACCTGAACCAGTTGGTAAGCGTAACCATGACGTAGAGTGATGCAAGGAAGAAGACAAAATGGAAGGCAGAGTAGCTGTAGGAAAGATGCTGGACTTGCACTGGAGGAGACTCTTGGTCAATTGGCCTGACAGCCCTACTCCTTGGCCCTGGAGAGATGGAAAGACTGCTGGGAGCAGTTCTAAAATACCTCTTCCCTCCCCCAGCACCTTTCTTGGATGCTTTTAGGGCTCTTTGACACTACAGAGTTTCTTACAGATCTTCATTTGACATTCACCTTCCTCTGGCTCCATTCTTTGGGGGCAGCAAAAACAGAGAGAGGGCTTCTGGGGAGAAAAAATAGTATGCAGAATTTTTTTAAAAATGACTAAAGAATGTGAGGCAGTAATCAAGGAAAACTCCCTTTCTAGAAAAAGATTAGTTTTGTCTAAAAAATATAGGCACACCCGGGTTTAAATTCCAGTTCTAGCAACATAACTGACTATGGTAAAAGATGTTTACTCTGTGCCTCAATTTCTCCATTTGTAAAATGGAGCAAGTACCTACCTCACAGGGTTGTTGTGAGGATTGAATTAAATGAGATTATGTATGTAAAGTATCTAGCCAGTGCCTAGAACATTGTGGGTACTCAATAAAAATAGCTGCTAGAATCTGAGCATTCTGGCTAGAGGTTTTTAGGATGTATGTGTGAGTGTGTGGTGTGTGTGTGTGGTAGGGGAAAGAGCACTGGGGATATCAAGCTCTCCATTATTACCTGAAACTCATAGTTGTAAATTTTGATAATCCATAAGGGCCCAAATACCTCTGCCAGGTAGGAAGCTTCATTGCTGAGGAAAAAATAGGTCCAGTGAAATAGTCCATAACTGTTTATTGCCAATGGAACCTCTTGGTAACTTGGGAGAATACTAACTGCTCCCTGGTATCTTTTTGCCTCAAATATTTTTTCAGAGTTTAGAGATTTATAAATCTCTTTATGTGAGGGCTTTAAGATCTGTGAGTGTATTTTTAATTCCTGAGTCCCCACCCCTGCCCCGCCACCTCATACAGATCATCTGACAAAATGCTATTCTTAGAAATTGTCCCTGTTCATGGGGAGCTTGCTTTAAAGTTGAGAGTCTAAATAAACCTTAGTTCCAGACAAGACCATCATTCCCTCTGGACTTCCTCCCTCTCAGTTCTCCTGACATCTTTACGTACCAGGCAAAAAGTACACAAGCATACATGATGCCAGCACTCAGTACTGCCAGAGAGTTGTCTGGTGTCTGAATTCCTTTGCTACTTAGGCCAGGTAGGCACAGAGTGTGATTCTGTCCTTGAAGGATTACTAAGGAGTAACAGGAGAGGGGTGGTTAAGAACATGGAGCTGGGTGTCCGACAGGAGTAAAAATGGCTTTAGCACAAAGAGGAATTTAGGTCTTTACCTCTCTCTGGAGGACGGCTGGACAGTGCAGAGAATGTCAGATACATGATATAGCAGCTGATGATAGAGGCTTGTAGAAGGCCAGAACGGGTTTGCTCTGGGGATAAGGAGAATCATCAAACTGCAAGTAGTAAGTTCTTCCACTCATACTCTCAAATCTGCTGCTGCCTCCCCACCCCCTGAGGTAAGCAGAACTATCAGATAAATGGAGGTTTTGGAAACTAGGGGAATTTACTACCCCCCTAACCCCAAAGTGAATGTTGTAGGGCATGTACCCACTGAGACGGATGCAGGGAGCCATGGAGAGCAAGGAGAGGACACCGCAGATGCAAAGGTGTAGACTAAGTAGCATCTTGTTGAGGAGGCAGCCAGCCGGGTGTGTGTAGTGGCGGAAGAGGAGCACAGCTCCTACACCTGCTATGCTGTAGAAGCCCAGGGTGGCCAGCAGCACTGCTAGAAACCAGCCGCAGTCGTTGGCTGCACCTGTCTCCCTAAAGGTGGGAGGTGGACAGTAGCTTGAACTCCAGTTCTTGTCTTGGTGTTGCTACCTATTCAGCCTAGCCCAGAGTCACCATCAGATTCCTGAATTTTTTCAGTACTTTCCATTGAGAAGCTGTAGGATCACTGACTCTGCTTTGCCCTCTGCCACACCCCACGGGGCTTAGTAATGAAGCAGACCGTCCCAAGAATAGCCTAGGGTTATCTACCCCTTACCAATTCTTGTTCCAGGAATGAGCAAAGGCTGTGATGAGCACCAGTTGCAACAGGATGAAAGTGAATCCTCCACAAATGCCAATGTAATGCCAGACTGGAAGATAGGCACCAGTGGAGAAAAGTAGCTGTCACATCATGACTCCAGTTCTCTTCCTCCCTACTCTGACTTGGAAAAAAATTTTTAGCTTACATCTGCTGATGAGGATGTGAGATGGAGAATACCTGGAAAGAGGTGCTCATCGGGGATACAGAAGGCCACTGCACAGAGACCTAGTAGGAATAGCAACTTGAGGAGCCAGAAGCTGGTTAGGAGAGAGAAAGAAAACCAAATTGAGAAGAAAAGGCGAAACTAATGTCACTGAACAATTTGCATAGAATTGTCAAGTGGGAACCCAATTTGCTATGTAAACTTTGACTGAAAACACAATTCTAAAAAAAGGCAAAGGAAAGTGAACAGTGACTACTACAGCGGAAGAAGAGGAGAGAAAAAATTAAACAGGAAAGAGGACAGAAGTAGAAAGGGTTATTCTAACCCTCAGAGATCAAAAGAACATGTAGGTAACATTTTACACTTTACAAAGTGTTATACTAAGTGTTATCTCCATTTTAGTGACTCTTAAAGAGAATAAGGATTGGGCAAATAAAGAGGAAGCAGCACCTTCACCCTAAGTTTTCTGTCTTTTCTCAGTGCTAGTGCTACTATCTCCTAAATTTCTTTTACCCATCCTGTGTCTTCTCTCTTCCTCTATTCCTCCCTATCTAGATAGTATACACAAACCTGTTATGCAGCTGGGCCCGTGGGCTATTAGGGGAGTGGAGGTGGACTAGCAGCACAGCTTGTAGCAGGTGGAAGGTGGCAGTTCCTGCACATATTCTATACACAGCCCCAGAGCCACTGAGCACTGGACAAGCAGAGTGACCAAATAGGTGGGCACATATCTCTGATGGCATCTGGATCTGGAGGAGGGTTGGGTGTGAAAAATAAGACAAGTTGTTCATGATTTGTACTTCTCAATATTATGTCCACTCATCTGCCTCTTCTAACCAAAGTTGAATCCCTTAGAAAGTTTTCATTCCAACCCAGTCACCTCCCAATTACCCATGTCTTTTGCCTCAGACTTCAACCCAGTCCTCTCCCACTTACCCCATGTCCTTTGCCCCAGACTTTTTCCACTACTGTTCTTGACAGCAGGAGGCAGCAGACAGCTGAAGTTCCCACATGTAGGAGGATGTAGAAGAGGCGGCTACAAGTGGACTCTCTGAGATAGGGCCACCTAGAGTGGCAGCAGTTGGTACATGGAGCAGGGCCACAGCAGGATACCTGAGGGTGGAGCAATTGCAGGGTGGAGAGTTGCTGAGGAAGGGCTGAGATTTCCAAAATTTGCTCTTTACCCCTTCCTCCTTTTACTCTGGAATTTTCAATGTCCGATTCTGAGCGACCCTGGATTGCCCTCCATTGACAACTGCTGAGGAGTTCTGGTGGTCTAATGCATGTTGAATTGTTAAACAAAAGGCCAAGTATTGTCTTTGATTCTAGTCTACCAGTGGTTTTTAAGGAGAAATATGGATAGGCTTTTCCTTTTAAAATTTATAAACTTGGAAATCTAGTGGAAGGTCCCTGTGCTATGGATCACAATTGTCTCATAGTGATTCACAGACTCAATGAATTTGAGGTTTTATTTTATCCATTTATTTTTAAATAGTAATGCTTATAAGTTTACCTACAGGTTAAGGAAACCTTAAAACCTAAATTAAACCCGACCTTTACCATTTCTATAAATCTAAACATCTAGGTCTAGAATTTGTTGTTAGCTGTCATTGAGTCAGTTATGATTCATAGTGACCCTGTGAACAGCAGATCTGAACTCTGTCCTAACTTGTGCCTTCCTCAAAATCTCTGACACATGCATTCAGTCACACTGTCACACTCATGATAGCCCATTGCTGCACTGTGTCAATCCACCTGGTTGATGATCTCCCTCTCTTTTGCTTTCCTTCTACTTTTCTAAGTATGATGTCTGGAGTTCACAGTTGTCTGGAATTTACTACTCTTGTTTTCTTATAGGCTACAGAGGAGAAAGGAAGGCCTGTACTTACTGATTAACTTCATTAATTTTCCTCTCATATCCAGCCATCCTGTCCTAGTTTTCAGAAAGTCTTTGTTCAAGAGAGTTTTCAAATCTCCATGCTCATATGACCCTCTCACCTGATAGAAGCAAGAATTGGCTGTAACACTGTTGACTCCATCGCGCTGCTGTGCCATGCTGGAGCTTGTGATGGCCTTTGCACCCACCATCCTGGCCCAGGAATAAGGCCCAGCTCCACCAGACTGGGAAGTAGCGACTATTTTTTTTCTTCAGCCCATTGGACTCCCTCGTGCTATGGTTGCTCTCCTGATCTAAGGCAGAAAAACCAGATGAGAGACATCAGGGGGAGAAACCCATATCCAGGATTCAGTAAATGCAGATGTCCCTGTGAAGGTTTTTCCTGTCCAGAAACCCATCCCTTGGGCTACTCCGGCTGTTCTCTCCAGATTAAGAGGCAATTTGCATATCCAGCCTTCCTTGGATTAGCTATTTTAATTGGTTTAGTATTAGACATCATCCTTCTAGGTTCAGTTTGATTGTGTGGAGAAGAATGTGGGTTGGGACATACTTAAGGGCATTGCCATTGGGTTCTGGAGTGGGATTGACACACGTCAGGTCCCTTGCAGAAACAAACACTTGTACAAGACTTAATAGGAAGGAAGCCTTGAGCGCCAACTGCTTGTTTTTCCAGTCTGAAGCGTCTAGAGGCGGGAGCGCCAGGAGGGCGTGGCCCAATGTTGGCCCCGCCTCCTCCCCAAGCGGAAGCGGCCAGCAGTTCCCGGATGTCGTGGTGAAGCGGGGCGGGCGTCGGGTGAGATCGAGATGGCTACAGAGGGGGATGTGGAGCTGGAGCTGGAGACTGAGACCAGCGGCCCTGAGCGGCCTCCCGAGAAGCCAAGGAAGCATGATAGCGGTGCGGCAGACCTGGAGCGAGTCACCGACTATGCGGAGGAGAAGGAGATTCAGAGTTCCAATCTAGAGACAGTAAGGGCGTCTGGGAGCGTGTCTGGGTGAACTGAGAACCGAGGCTGTAGCTACAAGTCACAACTCCAAGACTGGGTCCCCACTGGGGACGGGAATAGGCATGCGGGTGCACCGGAGGAACCTGAGTTACCACTGGGAGCTCGCTGCTCAGCGGAGCTCGATGCCAGTTGGGCTTACAGTGGACCTCATGTGCACCGAAGTGAATGAAACTGTCCTTGGTTTCAGATGCACTTGTTATCACTAATACATACTCACCTGGCATTGGCTTTTTAGATCATTGATGATTGTTCAGCTTATAGGACTCAGAGCTTGTGGCAGTAACTCCGCCTGTCTGTCTTATAGGCCATGTCCGTGATTGGAGACAGGCGGTCAAGGGAGCAGAAAGCCAAACAGGAGCGGTAAGTTTATCACATACAGCCGGCGTTCTCATTACCCATTATATCCCCTGACAGAGTTTCTTTAATGAGCTTGTTGTGTGCCCTCAAGCCGGAACCGACCCATAGCTGACCCTCCAGCGGGTTTTCAGAGGCACTTTCTAGCACGGGAGGAAAATGTCCATCTTTCTCCTGAAGAGCGGCTGGTGGATTTGAACCGAGGAGTGTCAGAATTAGTGAGACTGGCTCAGAACAGGGCAGGCTTCAGAGCTGCTGTAAACCACCACTACTGCCTTTGGGTAACCAGCACCAGTACCACTAGGCTACCAGAACGGTCAAATTCTACATTTTTATTCTTTTGGTAGTGCAGGAAATGGCCTGCAGGCAACATGCCCTGAAGGAGAAGGGATGAGGATACAAAGTTGGGGGGGGAGGTCACTTTTTTATTACAAATGTTAATAAAGAATTATTTGCAAAATACAGCCGGAAATGTTCTGTTGTAGGAGTTTATGGTAGAGACTAATGCACGTAAATATTTACAGGGAGAAGGAATTGGCAAAAGTCACCATCAAGAAGGAAGATCTGGAACTGATAGTAAGTAGAAATGCTTAGCTAGTGAATGTGTATGTTGTTGTTGTTATGTGCCATCGAGTCGTTTGCGACTCATA